CTCAGTCTCGATCTCACCTCAACCTCGCCCTCAGTCTCGCTCTCTCGCCTGTCGCCTTCTCACCCTCAGTCTCGCACTCTCTCTCGTTCCTCAATCTGAGTTCCTCTTCTTCTTCTCCGTGCCTCTTATTTGAACAGATTATCTGAAATCTTCATTGAAGACAATCGGTAAGAGACTCTAAACTCTCTGTGCCTCTTGATTGAACTTTGTTTTCTTTCCTTTCTTTTGGCTGATTGCTCATTGTTGAACTTTGTTTACTTAATTTTGATTGCCTGATTTGAGGTTTGTCTAAACTTAATTCTAAACTTGCTCATTGAACAGATTGCTCATTGAACAGATTGCTCATTGAACAGATTGATTGATTCGAGGTTTGTCTAAACTTGATTCTAAACTTGCTCATTGAACAGATTGGTTATAATTATCACATGTTATAGACAAATGCAACTTTGAGCTTTAGGGACATGGACATTGTTTATACTCTTTTGATTTCTGCCACCTGCCCGTTCGAAGCATCTAGCAATTGGTTTTACTATTAACAATTACAGTAGTGTTGAACTAGATACTCCTGATACAACTGCAAAATGTTGTTTGAATCAAAATTTGTTCAAGTAATATTTCTATTTGTAGGAGATTGAGGGAAAAAAAAGGAAAGGAAGTGGTGGGGCTTTCCTGTTTGTGTTTGTAGGTTTATCTATATATATATGTGTGTGTGGTATACATATCTTGATGTCGTTTTTGTTTTCCTTTAGCTGGTAACAAAGCTTAGTTTGACAAACGAATATCTATGTCTTAAAAAATATGTCTATTCTGTAATTGTTATGTTATCCCGCCAAGAAAATACAACAATACATTTCCTACTTGGACTAGAATTATCAATTATATGTCATCATTATCATAAATCGCATAAAAAAGTAATTTAGAGTTCAATTCTTACTCAACTTCTAACACAGATAAAAAATTGGTACTCTTCTTCTTTTATTTAAAGGCCTTAATCAGCTCATTCACTTCACACAATTCACAGCTGAAGAGAAGACTGAAATCTTCATTGAAGACAATGCTGAAACATAAAGGTTAGTTTTTTTATTTTTTGAGAAATATTATGTTTTTCATGAGAACTGAGATGAACTGATTTTAAGTTAATCTCTACGCTTAGTCTCAATCATATATTATCTGTTTTTAGGTTAATTTGTATGCTAGATGGAAAAATTTATCATCCACCCGACACAAACTTCTGAAAGCACTTGCAAGTCCTTTGCTGAAACAGAAAGTGACCAATGCCAAACCAAAAATCCAACCTCTGTCTCTGTGCCTAAAGAACCCATTACCTTGCCCACTCCCACACTCAGCCCTACCCATGTGCCTAAAGAGGAGGGAGACAGTAAAAAGAGGAAGAAGTCACAAAAAAAGTCTCCTGTTTGCGATCATTTCAAAATCATAGAGGGTGAGGATCCAAATGAGCCTAGGTGTAAGTGTATCTATTGTGGGGCAACATATGCATGTGATAGTAGGAGACATGGCACCAGTAGTATGAAGGTTCACATAGAAAAGTAATGCAAGAAATACCCATATAGGATCCAAGACAAAAAGTAAAAAATTCTGAGTTTCCAAACAAGCACTGAAACTGGCAGTAATCTTGTTGCTATAGGCTTTAACAAGGAGCATTGTAGAAAAGCGTTAGCATAAATGGTGATTGTAAATGAGCTTTCATTTAGGTTTGTTGAAGGTGAAGGATTTAAGAATTTTTTCACTTAGGATTTAAGATCATTTTTGTTAAGAAGTATGTTTGATGTTATGTTAATGCTTATGGACTGTTTATGGATTTTATGCTTTTGGACTGTTAAAAGAGGTATGAAGTCATAGATTAAAATTAGTTTTCACCAACCCGAGTAACCCGAGCCTACCTGAGGTCACCCGAAAGGTTACGGGTTTGTGGACTTAAAAGAGTGTTGCGGCCCAAAGTTTTCTCAACCCGCACTGATCGGGTCGGCTCAACCCGATCCTACCCGACTGAATTACACCCCTAGTAAATACAGACACCGAAAGAGGTGCAGACGCTGGCGTCGACTAGAAAATACCGTATTTAGCCATAAATTCAGTATTTACTGATCGGGCGCTGACTTTCAATAAATGTTGTATTTAACCGTAAATATGAATGTCAGTTGACGCCAATACCGGTAGCTATAAATATGGTTTTTATAGATTGCAGACCACTAACGGCGGGCCAACATAGAGATAGAGAGATTGAGAGAGACGATTGGCTAAGTGAGAAATAAAAAAAATGAAAACCCTACAAGTACGGGTAAATTTAGAAATGACTTTTTTAATTGAAAATTCAAAATATGCTATAGTTTACTAATGTTAAAAAAATATGATCTAAAACTTCAATAGCATGTCTAAAATATGTCATTTGTTATATTTTCTCTTTGGGAAATGGTTGAAAAACTAATCCTAAGATTTCGAGTCAAATAAAACATAAATACGTAACAGTTGAAGCTTTTGTGGTAGTAGTTTCATCCTCAACTATCGTTGACCTAATAATTACATGGGTAGTATCTTGGGGGAAAAAATGGTTCAAAGAGGTGATCGGGTTCTGAACTAGTTGAAAACTAATGCTTTTGTAATTTTATGGCATGGAATATGTATGTCGGGCATGAAAAAAGTGTATAAGCATGATAACTCTGCTATAATATGAATCATTTTATGATGTGATGATATTTGAAATGTGATGTGGAAAAAGGTTCGAGCAATGTGTCTGCCTTTTTCACTAGGCAGAAAAAAAAAAAGTAAAAATAATAAATAAATAATAAATAACCGAAAAAATAGAGAATTTACTCTTAAGAGTATATGAGTATGAATTTTATCCCTTACTCTTGATAAATATATTTTTATTAGTATAATTATTTAACTAAAAGAATTATAAATTAAAAATAAAGAATAAAAATCCTGACTCATACACTTTTAAGAAGTATTTGTCAAGATTATCCATAATAACTCTATTAAGTAGAATTTACTCATTTCGAGTTGGCTTCTTCTATTTTCATTTTATTTTTTATGTGTCCGCGACACCAGAAGCCAAGTCTTGTCACGTGCATACAATCAAAGTGCCTGCATTTCATTTTATTTTTATGTGTCCGCAACACCAGAAGCCAACTCTTGTCGCTTGCATACAATCGAAGTGCCTGCAATGAAAAGAGAGTTTTAAGTTTGAAGAAGCCAACTCAAAATAAGTAACGGAAATAGTAGAAAATATGCCAATATAAAAAGTTTAAGGAAGTATATAGGCCAATTTTTAATTATAAAAATTAATAGGCTATACTTGTTAAGTTATGGTTCATAACCAGATAAGTTATGGACAAACTTGTCAAGTTATGGTTCATAGCCAGACAAGTTATGAATAAAAACCGTGATTTATGGACAATAACTTGTCAAGTTATGATTCATAACCAGACAAGTTATGGACAAAAATAATAATTTGGCCTATTTATTAACTTATGTAAACTATTGGCCTATTAATTTTAATTCATCTCAAATCTTAGCTTATTTCTCTATTTCTTCCAATAAGTAAATCCTCTGGCCTTTTACAATCAAATTCTACTTTTGTTCCACCCTTTTTTTCTTTTTCGAATTTTACCTAAAAAATCATCTGATAGTAGAATAACCCAAAAAGGAAAAAAAAAAAAAACATGAGAAATAAAGGGTGTAAATATAAACATAATAACTATTTTTTTTAAGAATAAAACATAATTATTATTTACATGTAACATTTATGGGAAAAATATTTCGGGAACTTTTGAGGTTACGAGAGAATAACGCTTCTCTGCTCGTATTTTTTGGGCCTTTTTTATTTTCTAAAGCTTTTCATTTACAATACTATTATTATATTATAGGATTAATTTTAAAATTTTTTTTCTGAATTATAGCCCTTTTGACACTTTACCTCCTAAAATTTAAAAAGTAATATCTGTTCTCCTTAAATTTTGTCCCGTTAACAAGTTTTCTCCTTCTGTTACAATAAGTGACGGAATTGTCACGTGTCACTTATTTAGTGAGAATTGAAAGCGCAATTACGCTTATACCCTCCTAATCAATAATTCTCCATTTTTATTAAAAAAATTCACCATCTTAATTCCTCATTTTCCTTCTTTTTTTTCCACATTTTCCTTCTTTTTTTTTTCCCTCATTTTGTTCATCAATATGGCCGATTCAACCATGTGTTTATTAGTCATGGATAGCCAGGCGGAAGACCCACTGACTTTTTTTTTGACGACTCAAACTTAAACTCAAATTTAAAGAATTCAAAGAATTCCAGCATTCGACCCATGAAGATTAAAGCAGCTGCTCAAACTCCTCCATTTCCACTTCTTCAGCCTCCTAAAGTTGAAGATTCTCCCCTGAGGTTACTTCTTAACCCCCCCTCTTCACTTCTTTCCTTTCTTCATTCATAAACTTCTTAAACAAGCATTTTTATTTTCTTTTCTTCTTTATGTTCAATTTATTCAAAACCAACGAAACTTCTTATCCCATAAATAAAAGCCAAAGGAAATGCTTGTTTTGTGGTGCTGTTGTTGAATTTCTTGTTGTAAACTTTGTACGCAAATCATTTGACAAATTGCCTGTTATTGGATTTCTTACGTCTTCTGGGTACCTTTTTTTTTCCAAACCTTTATGTTGTTCAAGATCTGACTTTTCTTTATTGTTTAGAAAGGTTGTTATAAATTAATTTACGATAATACCCTCCTCAGATGGATCATGTACTTGACACGTGACGAATTCCGTCACTTATTATAACAAAACAAAAAAACTTATTAACAGAACAAAATTTAAGAAGAACGGATGTTATTTTTTAAAATTTAAGGGACAAAGTATTGAAAAAGTCATAATTCATGGAGAATTTTTTAAATTAATCCTATATTATATGTATGGAAATATGCTTAATAGATGTATTCACCAAGGTGAAATTATAAAATCTTAACGAAGTGAAATTACGAACGATGACATGACACCAAGCAAAATTCATACATAGGTATTAAAATTATGATGTACAAAAGTAGACCAATTTGTTGCATGGTATATCATCAATAAGAATAACGCAATAAACAAATCAAACACATAAACCCAACAGAAAACCATTTACCCCACTCTTGATTTATATACAACAATAACTCCAACCACAACTATTCCAGCAATGCAAACTTTACATGTAAGCCGATTTTACCTCCATCTTTCACCAGTTTAGCAGCCGTTACCAGCCAATGCCCAGGAGCGTCATGCGGCCCTCGTACCACCTCCGCTGTCTCCACAAATTTACGCAGCTTTGCAGATCGACTAGATGAAGGCGGGCCATCAGGATATACGCCAGAGTTGAGTACGGCTTGTGCCTGCTTCTGATGGTCAGCAACTGTTTTCTGAGTGAAAGTAAATGTTGTGCTCAAATTCGTGAGGAAACTCGACTTGTGAGAAGCTTCTGGTGCCGCGGACCATTCTGTCTTGCGAATGGAACAATGGGGTAGGTGAGTGAAAAGCAGACGGAGGTGAAGTATGGTCTTTGGCCATTTCCCTTTGCTGATGAGCTGTGCACCAGTTACAATATAGACTCCACTCGAGTCTCCTTTCAACCAGTCTGGATCATGCTTAACCACTGATGTGCAGATATTTGAGTATCTCTTCCATCTGACTGGTTCTAAGAATTGATTACTGAATTCATAGTCATCGGAGCCTCGCCACCGACATGGCCTCTTCTTGCTATTGTCGTCAAACGAAACGTTCATGCTATCAGGCAGACTTGAGAGATGCTGTACATGAAGTGCTAACTGATTGCACTTTTTCCCTTCTAGATATAATCGTAAACCAACAACTGGTTTTTGATCAGTTGAAACCTAAAATGGGCACAAAGTAGAAAGTTAAATGTTGCACAATTAATACTGCAATTTTATGTTGTTTAATTACATGGCATTAATAAATACAAGAACAAAATATGTGACGAAGCATGTTTGAGTAACGAGACAACTTCATTGATACAAACTCGTAATCTTAAATAAATATAAAAAGACAATGAAGTTTGTTGGAGGGAACTTTAGTCTCCAAATTGAGTTTTTGAGCAATTCAGAGCTCCCAAAGAGTAAAATGCCCAAATATGTATTTCTTCACACTTAATTTTATTGTCTTGAACTCCTTAAATAGAGTATAATATAAACACAATTTAAAATCTAACGATATAATTAAAAGCCACTAAACACACGTTCGCATCCCTCAACAACTACCTAGAAAATAGGAACAACTCCGTCATTTATCTAAAAATCTAATCTAAACATGTTGATTAATTCATAAAAGGAAAACAAGCAACATACAAACTACGAAGCAGAAAACTAACTAAACATAAAATTCTAAAATTTTGGCGTTCAACATTCCGCCCCACTTAAATGACACCTTTATCCTCAAGGATGACTGTCGAGGTTGTTTCTTGGTCTTTGTTTCTTCTAGTCTCGTGGTTGTCTGCATATGAGCCGGCTCCGTAAGTTTTTCTTCATTTTTTTAAGTGATTCCTTACCATGACAACCGGATCTGCATTTACGATGTTGTTCTTGAGTTCTCTTTTTCATCACCTAGCCTCGCTTTTTCGTTATATTTTTTCTCACTGGAATTGTGGTAGGATTGCAAGATTAGATATTATACTTGTAAAGCAACGTGCTTCTTGGAAACCTTCATATGCAGTTTCTTGAGCTTCTTGACTGTGTATTGCCGGAGCACAAACTTCAGCCAACTCTTTGGAAAACTTTGCTTGATGACAGCTCCAACTTAGCATCCATCATCTTGAAAAACTGGGTCATGAGGCGTTCGTTTGGTACGAGGGTTCAAATCAGAGTGATTCTAGTTTTGATTTTGGAACTAGAACCATGATTCATGATTTTGGATCCAAATCATGGTTTTGAAACCAGAACCAGAATCAGGGGTTTGAACCACCCAAAACCAAGAAGGGTGTGGTTTTAGAATCATGAGTGATTCTGGTTTAAAACATCACATCAAGGTTCAAACTTTGAATCAGAACCATCCAAACCAAACATTGATTCTGGGTGAGTCAAATCAGAACCACCTTTTACTTTTTGTAAACAAACACTGGTTTTGAAAAAGAATCATGGTTCCGGGTTCTAAAATCCTTATACTAAACGTGCTCTAATTTCTTTTAGGCCAAGAAGTAAGTATTCCACGGCCCTTCCGAGACGCTCCAGTTGTTGCTCTAACTGTTGCTCCATAGTCCATCTCTGATACCAAATGATACGAACTCACATCTTGAATGAATATAAAAAGACAATAAAGTTCATCCGAGGGAACTTTAACCAGAGAACCTTAACCGCCAAATTGAAGACAACCCTCCCAAAGGCGTAAAATGCCCAAATATGTATTTTCTTCGCTTAATTTCATGTCTTGAACTAAATAGAGTACGAGATAATTACAATTTAAAATCTAAAAAATAGAATTAAAAGCCACTAAACACACGTTCTCATCCGTCAACTACCTAGAAAATCCACTACCAAGAAAATAGGAACAAGTCCGTCATTTATCTAAAAATCTAAGCTAAACATGTTGGCTAATTCAAAATAAAAGGAAAACAAGCAACGTACAAACTACAAAGTAGAAAACTAACTAAACATATAATTCTCATATTTTGGCGTGTAACATTCATCCAAGAGAAGCAAATTCTCTACGAAAAAGGAAACTGTTCATATAAAATTAACAAAAAAACAAAAAAGACAATGTCCAACGTCAAGGAAGCCAGAATAACGGAATAAGTGGTTACTGGAGAGATAATGGCATTGGTGAACAATTTTGGGACCTTAAAAAGGACTGCAAGAAGCACATTATCTCATATATATATATATATATATATTTGATACAAGACGGGATTGAACCCGCAACACCTCACCCAAACCCTCCAATGCCACTAGACCAAGAGGTTTTAGGCGCACATCATCTCATATTCAATCCTGCATCATGGACAAATAGGGTGCTCGATGAGCTCAGCAACTTCACATACCCTACCCAATTTGCCAAATTTCACATCTCATGGATATGGATATTGGAAAATATTTTTGAACAGCTAATATGTTAGATATATGCCCTTAGGAAGGTATAGGCTAAGGCAAATTGGATTGATGGGGTCTTAATGTAATCTCAATGAAAATGACTAGCGTGTGTGTGTAGTTGGTTTTGTTGGTGGTAGTCTTTTAGGAGTATAAGTAGGGGGGTTTTGGGCTTGAGTGGGGGTCAAGCTGTGATTTGGGAGGAATTTGGGAAATCATAGGAGAGTTGGTGGTCTCTCGAATACCACCAAGTTAGGAGTTCTCCGGAGTTCTCAAATACTCCAAGACTATCTTTAGTATTTTCCTTGATTTTCTTTGCCAATTATGACTTGTTTAGTGTTGAAGTTGATTAATAAAACTTCCTTCTGATTTCATCCAAATTATTAGTCAATTTATGTTGTGTTTGTGAGTGTTGGGGCTGTTTGGCTGAGAGAAACCCGAGTTCCTAACATTTTGGTATCAGAGAAACCCGAGTTCCCCAATTTGGGTTGCGAACTGAGCTGGGAGCTCAAATCGGGGAGGTTCAGGGTGCTCTTCGGTGTTTGGAGGCGCTCATGGAGAGGAGGCTTGCTCCTTCGACGGCAACCCAATTCACGACGATGGAGAAGGCACACCTGAACAGAGCGACAAGCGTTTAGGTGTTGGGCGATTGGAACAAAACCGTGACGATCCGCAAAGGGAGGAGCAGATCGGCGACCCTCGAGGTCTGGGTCAACCTGATCTCGGCCGGAATCAGGCAAAATGTCGTTGTGGCGGGCAGAACGGAGATATGTTGGGAAAAATTTGCCTAAAACCTAAGCAAATAACAGAGAACAAAAAATTAAAGTAAAATTCACACCAAGAATTTTATACAGGTTCACCAATATGGCTACATCCTATTTCTGCCTCCTCAGATTCCACTAATCAGTTGAATAAATTCTTTATAAAGAAAAACACTCAATCTCACTTTGTGTTTCTCTCACACTCAAAAGATGTTTCCTAACCTCACACTCCAAATTTTCTCTCTGAAAATTTGTCACCCTAAGTTCCTACAACATTAGGTATTTATAGAGTACAAGAAAAGCCCAAAAAAGCCCTTAAAAGTCACCTAAAACCGACCTTGAGATCACCTGCCCACGGGCGCAACACTACCTTCTCGGTGCTACGGCACCCAACGAAACACCTTGTGCGCAGCTCACTGGTGTCGTGGCACTCAACCTTGGTGCCGCGGCGCTGTGAGGCCGATTTCTGGAGTGCCATGGCGCGGAGTATGTAGTCTTCTGGTGCTACGGCGCTGTGAGGCCGATTTCTAGAGTGCCATGGCGCGGAGTATGTAGTCTTCTGGTGCTGCGGCGCGGAGTATGTAGTCTTCTGGTGCTGCGGCGCCCACTGAATGGGGCCGCAGCACTACATCGATTTCTTATCCTTTTTTCTTGCTTTTCCTTGCTTCCAAACGCTATTAGACTCCACATCTCAAAACAAGATATAGGGGCGGAGGTGCCGGAACTGTTCTGCGAGGACATTATAGGTCTAGGTCTTGGGGATTTCAACCAGATCCGCGTGGATTTGCGAAGGGGGAAGCCGATCGGTGCTGGGTTCGCGCCGGAGCTCCAGTGGTAGGACAAGTGGCCGAAGACAGTTTGAGACGAAGGAGAGAGTTAGGGTTCAACCCATATGGTTTGGAACCTGAACTTGGTGGCAAATCGGCTTGGAACGGCGTCGAGGAGACTAGATCGGCGGCGATCTGGGGGCGGACAGCAACCTTAGGCCGCGTGGAGGAGCGCCGATGGATGGCCAGCCAGCCATGGTGGAAGGGCAGCGACGTAGGCCTGTTTTGCTGCCTAATTTTGAGTGGGAAGACAGAGAACAACGTGGACCCTATTCGGGTCAGAGAAGAGTCCAACGGGCCAGGGAACCCAGCCCTGATCCAGACGCAACTGGGGCTTGCCGGGTCAGGGAACAAGACACGAATCTTGCTAGGGAAGATTTCAGAAGGGGTTTTGGACCCGAATTCCAGTTGGAAGTTTATCAATGGGAGCACAATCTCAATCAGGAGCTACAACCGGGAGATCGAGGGTGGGAAAGGAATTGGGTTCATCGTCCCGAGACTCCGGAGGGGGTGCGAGCAGGAGGGGAAATCTGAGGAAAAAAGATGGAAATGCCAATCTTCGCGGGAGAGGATCCATATGGCCAGCTCTTTAGAGCAGAGCATTATTTTGACATTTATGAGGTGCTGAAAAGAGACAAGGTGTCGGAGGCTTCGATTTGTATGGAGGGTTGAGCTTTAAATTGGTTTAGGTGGACGGACTCCCAAGATCCGTTTGTGGGATGGCGGGACTTGAGGGCGGCGATCTTGAAGCAATTTAGTGGGGCCAAGGAAGGTGACCCAATGGAGAGGTTGATGGCGCTAAGGCAAAGTGGGATGGTTTCGGCTCCAGTGAGAAACATGCTGAGTGCCTTCTAGTGGACTCTGTGAGGATGTGCCAGCCGAGGTGAAGATGCATTATCCCACAACACTTCTAGAAGTTATGGAGACAGACCAGCAAATTGAAGATAGGAATGAGGCGGTGGAAAAGCCGGGGAGAATAAAGTTTGGTCGAGCGGGTGGCTTGGTGCGCTCGTATTCATTTTGTGAGGGACCGACCACTCAACATTACTTTCCGAAGAGCTTCCTCGAGTCAATACCCCAATAGAAGGTAGAGAAGTGAGGGGAAAGTCACCTACACCAACGGTTTCTAGTCCACCGGGGTTGAAGCAGGAGACTACTGTGGGATTTCAGAAGAAGAAATACAACAACGCCGTGCGAAAGGACTTTGCTATAAATGTGATGAAAAGTACGTCCTGGGGCATAGGTGCAAGAACAAGCAACTTCAAATTTTGTTGGTCACCGACGAGAGCGGCGTGGAAGAACCTAAGGAGGAGGACACTCACAGAATCGCATCGTTGGAGGAAATGATTGACCTTTCCCTCAATTCATCGAAGCGCAACTTGGGAGCTGTTGGAGGTTCTTCGCAGCCAATTTCTCAAATTCAACCTTGGGGACACAGTTGAAGTTGAGGATGGGGGTAATGTTAGATATATGCCCTTAGGAGGTATAGGCTAAGAGGGGCAAATTGGATTGAGAAAAATGACGCGCGTGTGTGTATAGTTGGTCTTGTGGCTTTGTTAATAGTAGTCTTTTAGGAGTATAAGTGAGGGGGTTTAGGGTTGAGTGGGGTTTAGGATTGAGTGGGGGTTAGGCTGTGATTTGTGAGGAATTTGGGAAATCTTAGGAGAGTTGGTGGTCTCTCGAATACCACCAAGTTAGGAGTTCTTCAGAGTTCAGTTCACCGATTCAAGTTTTTAATTCGAGTTCAGATGTGACTTTATGTGAGAACTTTTAGCATAATAAGTTATATATGACTTTTTATGAAAGCTTTTTACTGTGGCAAAACTGGAACTGAAAACTCGAATCGGTGAAATGAATGAGGCCCTCGAATACTCCACTATCTTTAGTATTTTCCTTGATTTTCTTTGCCAATTGTGACTTGTTGAGTTGGTGTTGAATTTGATTAACAAAACTTCATTCTGATTTCATCCAAATTATTAGTCAATTTCTGTTGTGTTTGTTGTGTTGGTGAGTCTTGGGGCTGTTTGGCTAAGAGAAACCCAGGTTCCTAACGTAATCCAATATGTAAGTGATATCATTCTTCAGTCTATACCACACATTTAAGACTCTTATTGTTTTCAAAATCTATCCCCACTTATTAGCCTACCCTAACTTACCTTCGATACCAAAAACTAAATCATGAATACGGTACCATGGTAAAACCTTGAGTCAAACTACCAACCTTCCACTCAACTTTGTTGTTCTCAGTATGAGACAAAACCCATCTGCTCAACTTCTAACACTGCAGCCTATGCTCTACGGTAATTGTCTAAAGTTATAAAAAAGTATATAAGTATATTTTTGAGCGGTCGGAGAAACCTTTAGCCAAACCGCCAGCCAAAATGACTAAAAAAACCGCCCATTAATCCAAAATTAGCTAAAGGTTTGGTTTGGTTGGTTTTTGCGGTTTGACGTTTTTTTTTTTTTAATTTTTATACAAACCTAATCATGGTGGTACTCCAGTGTATCTTATTTAACTTATTCGACTGACTTTGTCACTTATCTATCTTCCAGACTATTACATTACTACATCTAGTTGAGTTACCTCAATATAATAGCACTGCCATGAGCCAATAGATTAAAAGTGCACAAGGCACTCAAGAAAAGTACTGAGGTTTTTAAGCCTACGCCTATTGAAAGGAGGCATACACCTCATGTATGAGGTGGGCCTTGAAGCTAAAGCCCAAAGGCGCTTTTTGAGGCTAAGCCTCATTTTTGCTTTCTGTTTTCTATTTTCTGGGCTGAACAAAAAACAAAAGGAAAAAAAAAAAAAAAAAAAAAAAAAAAAAAAAAAAAAAAAAAAAAAACGCCAAAAAGGGGGTGCCTTTTTTTTTATTTTCTGGGGTTAAAAAAAAAAAAAAAAAAAAAAAAAAAAAAAAAAAAAAAACAAAAACAAAAACCATAAAAGGCCCAAGATGTGTGTCCTATTTTTATCGTGTGTTTTAGTCCAATAATGATTTTTTGTAATTATAATTTTTAACCAAGGAAACCCAAGTGCTCAGAAATGCTAAAAATTAACCTAAAATACGAATTTTATTCAAAACAGACCTAGAACAACTAAAAAATTCTCAACAAAGCTCAAATTTCAGACTCCTCAAGGTGCATGCTTCAAGCATTCATTCAAGGTGCAAGCCTCCATTCACCCATAAGGAGCATGCTCCTCAGGGCAAGAATTGACTGCCTCAAAGCGCACCTTGAGACGCACGCCTCGAATGCTAATACTACCTAGCAATCCACCAAAGGAGACTTGCATGATGAGTTAGGTGGGGGAAAATGTCACGAACTGCACATGCTTGCCCCATTATCGCATAGAAGGCTTGTTTGAAGGCTCTAGGATTCTCTAGAGTGTTCCTTAAATGCTGTCATCTAATGGAATATTAGAGAAGACCTAGAAAGATCAAGGCAATTTGAAGGAAGCTCGAGATCTTTTTGAAAAAATGTAGACATCTTGTGATCCATCTAGAACTCTCCAGAAGATGCATGATCCTTAGAGAACCCAGGAAAAAGTTATAGAGAACTCTAGAGAGGAGTAGACTCTCCTACACTTTGTAAATATCTTGATAGATCCTTAAAGTTTCTGGGCTAATTCATTGTATTGTTTCCACTTGTAAAGATGAGATAATCTACAATTTCTTATTTCATTGATAGACATTTCGGGAGGCAGTGGGAATTTTTTTTTTTTTTTTTTTTTAATAAATGGGGCGGCCAAGGACATTAGATAGAAACTCATCCCAAATATCTGCTTAAGCAAACAAGCAACACCTTGACCAAAAATTAACAATAAAAATAAAAACACCCATGCGATTAAGCATATGTATTTTCTGTCACTAAAAAATGCACTAGGTCATACAATTTAAAATTAATTCTCATATGTCCAATAAATGAAGAAAATAAAAATAAACAAATAAAATTCATTTACTGTAAGCGTGCATATATGTATGAGTGTGCTCAAGGAACTCTGCACAAACATTCACATGCGTATGTATGCAACAGTGAGTGTGTGCTATATATCTCTACATATGTGTGTGTATATATATATATATATATATTTATACATACATACATATATATATACATATATATATATATATATATATAGAGAGAGAGAGAGAGAGAGAGAGAGAGAGAAACAAGTACCTGAGTAGAGCTAATATTAATTTTTGAGCCCATGAAACTGAATTGCAAGGGCGGGCAAGCAGCCTTTCTTCTGTGATGACGGAGAGGCAGCTCACAAAACATAGGTGCCCATTGCCTTGGAACTTGATACTCCAAGAAAAACAGTAAATCCTCGAGAGGAGGCTTGTCTGAAAGAGAATAATGAATAAGAAATTTTGACACGATAAGTGTTGGGAAAGGAGTAAAGAAAATGGCAAAACAAATTATATTTGGGCAGACCAAGGTGAATTCCATGATGCTTCAAGAACTCAAGGAAAACTTCTATTTTCAGTGCTGATATTCTGGTTATTCATTAGAAATGTAAACCATGAAGTCCGCTCTGTCTTCTTTTATTATTATTTTTTATCTTTTCTCTAACTCCCTATCTCAAACCCACCCACACCCTCTGAGGAGTACAGCTGAATCCTTTTCTTTTAAACATAGATGCTTCACAAAACAATGTTAATGGTTGGCATAGATACTTTATGCAGATTGTGGAGTTGATATGCAACATCACAATATATATATATATATTTATATAGTAAAGCTGTAAACACTTACAGCGTAAATACAAATTGATTGCATGACTAAGATAACCACTGCCTGGAATGCCAGTAAGAAGAGAAACAATAGGTACGAACTTAAAATGGATAGCTTCTGGCTTAGCAGCCACTGTTTGGAGCCAATTGCAGTGACTATGCAAGAACACATCACCTCCTCTTTTGGAACAAATGACAGTGAGACCCTGTACAAGAAAGTTAGAATAACAACACTAAATAGACTATAGTAATTGTTGATTGTAGCTTTGTTCTCAATTTCTTTACTTACATCCTTGCTTGATGTCTCTGAAATACTGGTCAGCTGCATGGTATTTGACTGCAATATACGATTGAAGACCTCAGGTACCTGCAGAAACGAATCCCATTCATTGGCTATCTATAAACATACGAAAAGAGGAAAAATGGTACAAAATGAAAAAGGAAGTATTATGGAAGCAGTACTTTGTGTTTCCCATCTCCTGTTTTCCTCTGCAGTAGGGAAGGGCTTCTACTGTCTGAGAAAAGAATGTCTCCAAGATCCTCCAGGTGTCTCCTTAGATCAGCAGGAGGAATTGGTGACGAGGACTTTTGTCTGACACAAATTAAATCTTGACCTCCAACAGCCATCCCCACTATTATGTGTGTTCCATATGACTCGATAAACCTGCCTAATAAAATTGATTAGTATCACGACTGTATCATTATCAAGTCATAACAATGCACTGCTTCATTGATTCAATTGACTGTCCCTGTACAAAATATTTCAGCAGAAGGAAGAAAGAAAAGCAAAACATTCCCCATCCCGAAATTTCAATCACCGATCAAAACTCCAAACAGGAAAGCAAATTATTACATGAAAACCACTTTATAGTACCTATGAATATACATATATAAACTAAGAAAAGAATTTATAAAAACCACTTTATAGTACCTATGAAGATACATATATGAACTAAGAAAAGAATTTATTACATACGTACATCTTTAAAACCCCTTATGAACATATATATGTACTAAAGAAATATGCTTTCTATTGTATTACTTTTTTTTTTTTTTTGGTGCCTGACAATAACATTGTCGGGTGACCCGAAAACAAATATATATATATATATATATATATTAGAAAAGAATTTATTACATACGTGCATCTTTACAACCCCTTATGAACATATATATATATATATATATATACACACACTAAGAAAACATGCTTTCTATTGTTTTTGTTTTTTTTTGGTGCCTGACATGTTATTGTCGGGTGTATATATATATTATCAAATCAAACTTTAAAATTTACCTACTCAATGCTGCTGGATCCCAATGAGATGGAACAGATTTTTTCACTTCATCACGTAGCACTAATGGAGACGCTGTGAGGTGCAAGTTGTACAATGAGATGAAGTAACCATCAAATGCTAGGTACTTGGTGTCTGCAACGTCATGAAACCAATTTCCAGTCACCTCAAATATATTATCAAATCAAACTTTAAAATTTACCTACTCAATGCTGCTGGATCCCAATGAGATGGAACAGATTTTTTCACTTCATCACGTAGCACTAATGGAGACGCTGTGAGGTGCAAGTTGTACAATGAGATGAAGTAACCATCAAATGCTAGGTACTTGGTGTCTGCAACGTCATGAAACCAATTTCCAGTCACCTCAAATATGGAGTTAAGATAGCCTGAAGGAACTTTTCCTTGAACCGAAGATTTCTGATTAAGTAGCTCAGACATCTGCATGGAAACAAAACAAAACAAAACCGATTACTAAATATTAGCGAAATTGTATGGTTTGATAAGAGCAAAGTTTGGCAAAACGTATGCATACAAAAGCATCAATAATACCACTATCCAAACTGGCACTAAAAGATATTGTAAACTCACCCAGGAGTCAGCTCTAATATTATGCGTACTACAAACGTAATAATTAGATATCTGTCAAATTCTATGACATAATTGATTAACTTTAGTAGATTCAAAGTCATTAATCAGCTTAAGGAAAATCATCAGTAAATTTGAGACAATTTTAACCAGAAATTCTATCTGATATTTGTTAGGTGTGTGGAGCCTAATTATCACCATCACATAGAGTTAGCAAATATGAGTGTGAGAGGCGCGAACCGAAGTGTGAATTTTTTCTGATCTTCTTCTTAATTATAGTGAAAACCTGCCGCAGCTGAAAGTTTGTTATTGCTCTCGCAGAAAAAGAATTAGGGCTAAGAATTAAGGGGTTTAATCCGTAACAATAGTGAGAGCAAGTACACGCAGAGTAAAGCGTCTTCATAACAGAGAAAATGACCATATCATGCGGTTCTTCATCGTTCTAATAAAATAAAGCTCGAGTTTGTGTAACCATTTTCTTACAATTACTTCAATTTAACATGAACAACTTTTATACACTAGCTTGTGCTACAAAGAATTATTCCCTTCTTCCCGAGCCGCAAATCAGCAAACTTTTCAGCGTAGAGCCCAAAACAAGCAACAAATAACATAATCAAGCACTGAAAAAATCCACAAACTAAGAAAATTCAAAGTAAATAGTAAAAAGGAAAAAAAAAAGGACTCAAAATCCGACCTGATTGAACTCAAGAACATCCGATTTGAACCGAATTCGATCTCCCTTATCGCATCGAATATCCTCGGAAACTCCTCGAATCGCGAGCCCTCCGCCACAGCCAGGAATCACAATATCCCTCTTGTTCGTCTCATCGAGAACCACCAACCTTCCGCCGCCGCAAGACTCCCCCAATCCCTTGGCGAACTTGAGCCTGAAATCGCTGCTCAGATCGAAGCCCTTCCCCAACGCCTCCAAAGCCCTAAACCCCACCGGCATCTCGCCGCCGAAATCCTCCATTCCCATCGGAAAACGAAAGCTCGTACGTCACAGCGGAAAACCCCCAAATCCCAATCCCATACACCCGCAATTATCGCTCCGGAGCTCCGCGAACGACGGAGGAGAAAAGTCGGAGAAGAGTTCAAAGTTCAAACCAAGCATGTTTATGTTTGTATATATTTGCATATGCAGGGAAGATGTTTGACAAAAGTTCAAAGCGACAGTGAAAATGAAAGCTGACGAGAAGGGACGAGAGAAGAGTAGAATTTGTGTTTGGCTTTTTCTTTCTTACGTAAGAAATAAATTGTTTTTTTTTTTTTTTTGGGGGTGTTTTTTCTCTTTTGGTGAATTTTGTGGTGGGAGTATAAAACGATACACTGGCATGATCCAGTTCTTGGCCGCTGATTTTCATCACCTTTTTGTCAGATTATAAGTTTTATAATATGATTTTGGGTCTCATTTCATGGCATCAGTGATAAATTGTGTACACATCGGTTTACTATGTTTTTTATAATACTATATAATTCCCTTTATTAAAGCGTGGAATGCAATGAAGACAAAAGAGTATAGATGGACCACGTGATGTTGACTATTGACAAGGACAAAGATTTTTTTTTTTTTTTTTTTCCCTCTCTGGAAAGTCCCTTTATTCAATATCTAAAAATAAAACAGATGCCACGCTAGGAGCAACTTCTCATGTAGAGAATGAACCAAACTTTTCCGACTATAAAGATCATTTGGCCAACTCATGAGCGACTCTATTATAATCTTTAGACACCCACATAAAATTTAAGGATAGAAATGATCTAGCCAGCAGGCAGTCACCTTCAATGTCCACATCAGGGAATAATGGCTCTAAAACTACCCCCGTCCCAAATTTATGCTTAATTTATTTTACCGATTTGAGTTTTTAATTTTAAATTTTTACAATAAAAAGCTCTCAAAAAATGTCATATCTAACTTTTTCTGCTACAGTGAAAAATTCTCATAAAATGTCATATCTCAGCTCGAATTAAAAACTCGAATCTGCGAAGTGAACGAAGTCTTAGTCTCAACAAGCTCAACACTATTAATTGAGCAGGCTTCCAAAGACTTCGAACTGAAAGCTACCACCTTGCCTTCTTCATCTCTGAGCAAAGCCGCAACCACAACCCCATTGTCTTGGACTGCCGCATCAACATTCACCTTGATTCGACCTAGCCTAGAAGTTTTCCACCTTTGTTCTCCTTCCCTCCTCACACCTCTAAAATTCACAGCTTCTCTCCCAATACATTACAATAAAAAAACTTATTTACGACGACTCAATGTCATCGCAAAAGAGTACGTTGTCGTCGGTAATATTATATTTGCGACGACATGTCATCGCAAATTAGTCGCTGTAAAAACTTAGATGCAAATAATATATTTACGATGATAAAGTTTTGAGATGTCGTCACTAATACATTAGCGATGACTGTTGTCGCGAATAAGTCGTCATGAATGTTCCATCGAACATGTCGTTGATGATGACGTGTTCTGTTATATTTGTGACGATATATGTTTAACCCCTTAATTCAACTCACTTAACTAGCTAATCTTGGGTTAAAACCTCCTAAGCATGGCCGGCCAATCCTTTGGAGAAGAAAGAGAAGATTATCAAAATTTCTTCTCTCCAATGGTTGATCAACACTTGTCCCCTTCATAAATTCAAGCTCATCATTATTTCCCTAAGCTTATCCCTTAAGATTCTCTGTAAAGAAGTCAAGATTTATACCGACCGTAGGGAATTAACTTGGCCGATAGGAAATTTTAGTTTCCGATGGTTCCTTTTCTATTGTTTAAAAAAATTTGCAATCCGATACTAATTTCCTGAATAGTTCAGTATCAAGCCAAACTATCAATTGCATAGAATTTCAGACTTTTTTAATCTTGAAATCATTTCTAAATTATATAAATTCTAAACTTAACCCTTTTTTGTACTATATCCCAGGAATGACCACGCTACTCGCGGTATCAACTCCCAAGCTCATATTATATCTGTAACTCTTTACCTAAGACAAAAGGGTTAGAATAAACACTCGAATTTCCACAAACACCAACGCATGTACGATGTGAAATTTTTGGAGAAAAATTTTTCCTCATAATCTCTTAGAGAAATTCAGCCACAACTTTAAAAATTAGGGCAAAAATTGTATCCTATAATTTTCTATTATTCTTTTATTTATAGAGTAGAAGTCAAACTTTTAGAAGGAATCCAATCTTTATCTTCAACATAAAGCTTGTTAATTATCTCGTATTTGAATTTGCAACAAAAATTCTCCCACTCCTTATCCTTGATGTGGCAGGCCATCCTCTTGGGATCTTATCCCTGTGTGGCGCCAAATACAGATATAGAAGGAAGAGAAAATTATCCTTTATCCTGTTGTCTAATTTTGACTCAAATTTAAATTCCAATTTAAGCCAAACTTAAATTAATTTAAATTATAAATTGAACAACTTATCAAATAAGTTTAAAAGGAAAAATATAAATTGTGTTCAACTGTGTGTTCACACTGTGCCTTGCGTTCACATAGGCGAACACCTTCACATAAGTGATCCAAACTTCAAATTTAAATTTAAATAATCACATTATTAAATTTATAATTAATTCTCAATTAATTACTATTGAGTGTTTTATTTTTAGAATTTCATAATTATAAAATCTCATTTTGCCTTTTGTGTGTTGTAGAATTACTAGGACGACGCGAAGACTAATAGAACTGTAATTCCGAGCTCCAATAAAATTAATAATTAATTAAATTCTTTAATTAATTAATTAATTCTATTAATTACAATATTTACTCAACTATAAACTTGGAATTGTACTATCGTAATTATAGACATAAATTACTTCTAAACTGTGAAGTGTCAATCTGATATAGTCATTGCATATAGATCAATCCTCCATAAGTAATTCATAATTTTAGTTAGGTAAAATCCGTTAACCACTATAATTATATCTTTATCCTTGAGTACCATCGATTATCTAATGGATAGTGATTCATAAAACACATTCATGAACGATGACACTCTAACTAATCCAAGTACCGAATCAATACTCAAGAGAATTATTTATCTGCTTCTTTCTCAAGAAGGAGTGGATTCCATCTCGTATAATAACATTCTCGGCTACCTACTTCAACATGTCTCTAAAATACAAGTAATAGGATTTAGGGTCCCAGAATCTGTACCAAGTAAATCAAAAGACACAAATCCATAAATATGAGTTTTTTAAGAACTTAGGATTAAGATCATTCTATATATGACAATCGGCAGACTCAATTAGAATTTCTATACTTAACAAAAATTATTAGAAATTCATATTGTGTCTTTGTCACTGTTCCGCATAATCATATTATGCGTAATAAACTCATTCAATATCTAGCCATATTAACAGTGTGGATAATACTATTCCATTCTAAATGGGAATTACATGTATTAGTAATGTTTTCAATTAAAGATTATGAACTTTAATTAAATTCATTATGAACATCACTTTTGATTATTATCCTTGAACATTATTCTCTCGCATATAACACTTATATACAATGTTTAAGGTCACATAAATAATCATGGAATTTTCATTTGATATTCATAAAATATTCAAAAATATATACACATAAAATGATGAATAAACTATTTTATTAAATAAATAATAAATATCCTATTACATCTCATACTTCTAGGACATCATTCCCAACAATCTCCCACTTGTCCTAAAGCAGGTGTGTCATGTCTCTAATCTCAAATCATTCTAAGTGTCGATCTAATACATTCAATGACAATGTCTTCGTGAACGGGTCAGCAAGGTTGTTTTCCGACGCAATATTCAGAACTGTCACATCACCTCTATCCATAATGTCTCTGATCAGGTGATATTTTCTTTCTATATGTTTCGCACTCTTATGGCTTGTAGGTTCTTTTGAATTAGCCATTGCTCCACTGTTGTCAGAACAAAGCTTAATTGGCTTATTCATATCTGGAACAATTTCCATATCAGTTAAGAACTTCCTGAGCCATGTAGCTTCCTTTGCGGCTTCACAAGCTGCCACATACTTAGCTTCCATGGTAGAGTTAGCAACACACTTTTGTTTTACACTTCTCTATACCACGGCTTCTTCATTAAGAGTGAACACAAATCCAGATGTTGACCGTCGACTATCTCTATCCGATTGAAAATCGAAATATGTGTATCCGGTGAGAGACAGATCTTCTCTAAAATATACTAACATATAGTTTCTCGTTCTCCTAAGATACTTGAGAATACACGTCACTGCAACCCAATGATCTAATCCTGGGTTGGACTGATAGCGACTGACTACTCCCACAACGTAGCAGATATTTGGTCTTGTAGACAACATGGCATACATAAGGCTTCCCACAGCTAATGCATAGGGATATCGTCTCATATCTTCTTCCTGCTATGGAGTCTTTGGACATTGCTCCTTAGAAAGATGAATACCATGCCTAGAAGGTAAATTCCTCTTCTTGGAGTTCTGCATCGAGAACCTAGACAACACTTTATCTATATACGATCCCTGTGATAACCCTAACAGCTTTTTCTTACGATCTCGAATAATCTTAATCCCAAGAACATAACTTGCCTCTCCCAAATCTTTCATTTAGAATTGGTTAGCTAACCACTTCTTTACATCTGTCATCAACCTCACATCATTCCCAATGAGTAGGATGTCATCGACGTAAATAACTAAGAAGACCACTTTCTTTTCTTTCTTGTACTTGTAGACACATGGTTTATCAATGCTTTGATCAAATCCATAAGACTTTATAGCCTCATCAAACCTGATGTTCCATGATCTAGAAGCCTGCTTCAATCCATAAATGGATCTCTACAGTTTGCAGATATTTTGCTCTTGGCCTTCCTCTATATAACCCTTTGGCTGATCTATATAGATGGTTTCCTCAAGATAGCCATACAGAAAAGCTGTCTTGACATCCATCAGTCATATCTCATAGTCAAAATATGCTGCAATGGCCAGGAGTATTCGGATGGGCTTAAGCATAGCTACTGGTGAGAAAGTTTTCTCATCGTCAACTCCTTCCTTTTGGGTATAACCCTTAGCCACTAGCTTTGCTTTATAAGTCTCTACTTTTCCATCTGCTCATATCTTTCTCTTGAGGATCTACTTGCATCTAATAGGCTTTACCCCTTCGGGTAGATCTATAAGTTGGCATACTGAGTTAGAGTATATGGACTCCATCTCAAGTTTCATAGCTGCTTGCCATTCTT